CCGGATTTGAAGACGATCAAGGAATATGCCCCCGACTTTGGGTGTTTATAAAAGAAGCGGGCTCGCGGATGTATGTTATCCAATCCGCAATGAATAGGCTTTTGGGGACTCTCTATAACGGTCGCTTTATTCCAGACTACGTATGGATGATTCGGGCTGTGCTCAGTGGTAAGCAAACAGGGAGGATAACTTGCTTGTTAAGAGATACATCAGTGCCACTCCTATCTTAATCTAACGTATTCTTTTATATCCTTTCCTTAGATTACTCCAGACTTTTCCTTTGCTTTCCTTTCTCTTTCTTTTCGATTATTATTCTCTTTTATTTATTTTACTGTCATTTTCTCTCCTTTCCTCACCTCGATATATATTTGTATTTCCCTCGTCTAGGCCACAGATAGATACAAAATTAATCCATCATACTTACTCTGGATCCACATTCGCTGTCGCTTCATCCATTATTAGCACCTTGTTGCGCCTCAGTATAGCCCGCGCCATGCAGACCAGCTGCCTTTGACCCATACTGAAGTTCGAACCCCCATCGTGCATGCGACAATTCAGCCCACCTTCCAAAGAAGACACATACGCCTTGAGTTTCACATCCTCCAATGCACGCCACAACTCTTCGTCTACCTTCTCTTCCAAAGGATCGAGATTGTAGCGCATTGTGCCAGAGAATAATACCGGATCCTGCGGTATGATCGCGATGCGACTGCGCAAATCATGCAAACCCAATGTGCCAGTATCAATGTCATCAATCAAGATGGAGCCCTCATTTATCGCCAACCGAAAGATGGCCTGTATGATAGACGACTTGCCTGCGCCAGTACGACCTACAATACCAATCTTCTCCATAGACTTGATAGCAAAATTGAGCCCTTTTAGTACGGGTTCGCCCTGTTCCGTGTAGCGTAGGTAGACGTCTTTGAATCGCAACTCACCGGCACTCGGCCATGTTTGAGGTAGCAACATGCTAGTGCGGGTTTCCAACGCAGGCTCTGACGGCAACTCGGCGTATTCGACCACACGCTCGACACT